GAGAGTAGTGTTAAAAATAAAAGTTTATGGAGTTTGTGTGTTTTATTTGGTAAGTGAAGGGTAATAAAGGATGATGGGTATTTAAAAGTTTATTAGTTAAATTGGTGGTGAATGTTAAAATATTGGATGAAGTGGATGAAGTGGATGAAGTGGATGATGAGGTGTTATGTAGAATAATTTATTTTAATTGAAAAATTTTTTATTATTTTATATAATTTAAAATTAATTTTTATAAAAAAGATGATTTTAAGAAAAGAAGAAGAATGTTGTAAAAATTAGAAATTATTAAATTATTTATAGTAAAAGTAGTAAAAAAAAATCCCAGTAAAACCGCAAAAATGCGTGAGATTGTAAGTTATCGTCAGCTCCATGCCCGAGAGCCAAAAAGAAACGTCCCTGTGGATTTTTTGGTCCCTGACCCAAAACCCCACCCTCGGGATCACGCCGCAGCAGAGCTTCCTGGGACGACCTCAGGTCGACCGAGGGCTGCCATGGCGATGGTGCAGTAAACAATATCATGACGACGATAGCTAACCGTTGTCTTCTCTTCAACAGGTCCATCTTCAGACCGGTCAGTGCGTAAGTAACCGGTCGACTCGAATCCGTCTACCACCACAGCTTGACCGTACTGACACTGCCCTCTCAGGGTAACCAAATTGGTGCCGCCTTCTGGTATGTCAAACCACGCTTGCGACTTGGGAATCGATAATATCACAAGTGATTGAAACTGACACCTTCTACAGGCAGATTATCTCCGGCGAGCACGGCTTGGACAGCAATGGCGTGTATGTGTTATCGTCGGGCCTCGCATCATTCGAATAACCACTCACCGCTCCCATAGGTACAACGGCACTTCCGAGCTCCAGCTCGAGCGCATGAATGTCTACTTCAACGAGGTACATACCCAACACGATGCCTTCACCGCTGTCACATCACCATATCATGGCTAACACCTTTGTTCCTTCAGGCTTCCGGCAACAAGTATGTTCCCCGCGCTGTCCTCGTCGATCTCGAGCCCGGCACCATGGACGCTGTCCGTGCTGGTCCATTCGGCCAGCTCTTCCGCCCCGACAACTTCGTCTTCGGCCAGTCCGGTGCTGGCAACAACTGGGCCAAGGGTCATTACACTGAGGGTGCTGAGCTCGTTGACCAGGTCCTCGACGTTGTCCGTCGTGAGGCCGAAGGCTGCGACTGCCTCCAGGGTTTCCAGATCACCCACTCCCTTGGTGGTGGTACCGGTGCCGGTATGGGTACCCTTTTGATCTCCAAGATCCGCGAGGAGTTCCCCGACCGTATGATGGCCACCTTCTCCGTCGTGCCATCGCCCAAGGTTTCCGACACCGTTGTTGAGCCCTACAACGCCACCCTCTCCGTCCATCAGCTTGTTGAGAACTCCGACGAGACCTTCTGCATTGACAACGAGGCTCTCTACGACATCTGCATGCGCACCCTCAAGCTCCCTAACCCCTCGTATGGTGATCTCAACCACCTCGTCTCCGCCGTCATGTCCGGTGTGACCGTTTCTCTCCGTTTCCCCGGCCAGCTCAACTCTGATCTCCGCAAGTTGGCTGTCAACATGGTTCCTTTCCCTCGTCTCCACTTCTTCATGGTCGGCTTCGCTCCCCTGACCAGCCGTGGCGCCCACTCTTTCCGCGCCGTGTCCGTTCCCGAGTTGACCCAGCAGATGTTCGACCCCAAGAACATGATGGCTGCTTCCGACTTCCGCAACGGTCGTTACCTCACTTGCTCTGCCATCTTGTAAGTTTTGCCACGCTTCATTGATTAACCAGCAAGTTCCAAAGTATACTGACTCTGTTTCTAGCCGTGGCAAGGTCTCTATGAAGGAGGTTGAGGATCAGATGCGCAACGTGCAGAACAAGAACTCGTCTTACTTCGTTGAGTGGATTCCCAACAACGTCCAGACCGCTCTCTGCTCCATCCCTCCCCGTGGCCTCAAGATGTCGTCGACCTTCGTCGGTAACTCTACTGCTATCCAGGAGCTCTTCAAGCGCATTGGCGAGCAGTTCACTGCCATGTTCCGTCGCAAGGCTTTCTTGCATTGGTACACTGGTGAGGGTATGGACGAGATGGAGTTTACTGAGGCTGAGTCCAACATGAACGATCTCGTTTCGGAGTACCAGCAATACCAGGATGCTGGTGTTGATGAGGAGGAGGAGGAGTACGAGGAGGAGGCCCCCGCTGAGGAGGAGTAGAACACCAACGACGTGTCCCCTCTACTGCCGGCGGCTGGCCCACAGGATCATGCCGGTGTTGATATTGAGCATCATCCACTAGGCGGCTTGTCGACGGATCGTTTGTTGGCTTAAGGATGACTAACCCTGTTTGGAAGCGTTCTTGACGTGTAGCCCTTTTTTGTTGGTGGATAATGGATTATTGATTATATCAGTTGGGCCCGCCGTTGAAAACGCTGCTTCTGTGACATCTTTCTTTTTACCCCGTGCCTTCAGTTCTTTGTTGTGATGGAGCCGGAGTTTCGTCGGTGGGGGGTTGATCCGGTCAAAATACTAGACATGGAGGCAGGGTCCGTCTGGGATGGCCTCCTTTTTTTCAAACATAGTACATTAGAAAATATATGCGCACGCATGGTGGTAATTACCATTGGAGTTTTTTTGCTTGCTTAGCCTGTTGGGTTACTCGTGTGTGATCTTGCTGTGTGATGTTGTTTGTGATTACTGGGGATCTGCTGGGTGTGGTCTCTAACGTGGACATACCTTAGCATGAGGGCTAGGTGTGTGTATATTTTTGAGTCAAGATCCACAGTTATTCATCTCGTGGCCAACGAGATGGGTTCTGACCGCCTCCTTAGGATGTGTGGTACTTGTTTATGGTATCATTTCGGGAATGGGACAGACTTGGAGGTAGGAGAGAGTATGAGCGGCTGTGAGTTTTCTGGCCAGAGGAGGGAGGAGCTTGAAACCGGTAGGGTGTGTGGCTTGGAAAAGGGCGGTTATTATGGTGTTCGGGGGAAGGGGGTCACTGGAGATCATTGGTTTTTGCGGTGGGGTTCAGGTAGGTGTGCAAGATACGGGGTGGCAGTTCACTTGGGTTGATGGCCGCGCTTTTTTGGAGAGGGGGATAGATGCTGGGAGAAAAGCTTGGGGGCTTAAAAGATGGTCAAACTAATTCTCTTTAAAACACTTCTCAGCTATCTTTCAAAGCCTATTTACTCGGTACTTTTCAAGGTCTATCAACTATCTATCAAGGCACGGTGTCTGGATACCATCTTGCGTGAGAGACCCATAATCATCAACATCCTTCTGTGGTACTATTCAATACATACATATACAACCCCTGTCTAAGAAGATATTTACATGGACATTTTCTTGGCCACCTTTCCATGCCCCCCACCCCCCTTTCCCTTCATAGCCCATCCCAGGCTACCTATGCTATTACTTTCCATCCCGGTACATATCCTCATGTTTTGGGTTGTCCACAATGCAATTCGCCCCCCTAATCCCCTTCCCCCTTCAAACTCCAAAGTGATTTGCCTCGCCCCTATGCACAACTGTTTATAAGAAGCCAAAATGCGCGCACCGTTTTCCTTCCTTCCACTATCTCGACCCAGAAACAAAAACCAAACGCCATGAAACCATTTGCCGGACCCGTCAACGAGCCTGGCTTCCATTCACATACGTCCCATTCCCGTTGGCCTGGCCATTCACACCGTTCCCATTCGCCTGACTCTGCGGTGGAACATTCTCATACCCGTGATGTTGGTGCTGGACATCAGTAGGACTATCATGCACCACCATCCCAGTCAACCCATTCATCGTGCTTCCTCTCCTAACCAGAGAAATAGTCGTGTTCATCGTCGCCGTCCTCGTCATAACCGGGCTCCCCGTGCGAGTCCGTCGCAGCCTCGGTACGGCCCTCCCAGTCTCACGCTCCGCCTCACAATTCCCACAAGCGCCCGCGCCCCCTGCAATCGCCAACCGTCTAAACAACGGATACAAGTCATGAGCCATGGGCCTTTTAGTAAAATCCGCATCCATCATGGCTCGAATCACAGGCAATATCTCCTTGATCGCAGCCGCCGATTCGGCCTTCTTGGGGTTGCTGTCGATGAGCCGGTCCGCAATCTGGCACAGGTGGAAGAGGTAGGCATCAAGACGTTCGAGGGACTCCGAGTACTTGAACTCCCCCAGGTTGTCCGTCCTCAATTGCTGCTCGGCGAAATCAGGCGGTCGCCCCAGCAATGTGGTGGCCATTTCTAGGAACACACATCCAAGGGAAAAGACATCGGACCGCTCGTCTCGCTGGGTTTCGTTGATGGCCTCGGGGTCGGCGTACTTGAGTGTCTTGGGCGTGGGTCCTTCCGAGTGCTGACCGGTCTCAAAGTGCTTTGACAAGCCAAAATCGGTTAATACGGGAAGAAGAAAATCGTCAATGACAATATTTTCGGGCTTGATATCTTTGTGCCGGATTCGAATGTTACTTCTGTGGAGGAATGCCACGGCTTGTGACAAGCATCCGAAATACGTATGCAGGGCGGCCTCGTTTTCCGGCTCGCGACTGTTGATGATGTGGTTCATGAAGAAGCGGAGGTTGCATTGTGCTGGAGGGTACATGGCAATGCCCAGTATGTGCTTCTTGATTTGTTGATCAACTCTGATAGCTTTGACCTTCGCTCTCTGCTGCCTCCTCACCCCAGTTGAGATGCAGTAATCTTCAAAGCTGGCCACGTAAACGACGATATGGGGGTGTTTGATCGAGGCCATGTTCCTTACTTCCTCCAAGGCCAGCATCCTGACGTGGCTGTCAGGCCCGGGTGGCCGTAAATTATCCTTGCAAGTGATAATCTTCAAGGCAAGTGGCCGCCGATATGGATATCCTTCAGGGACATTGACTTTGTATACGACCGTGGTTCCAGATTCTCCAAGCTGCTCGCCGATCTGAATGAACGGATGGGGGGCCCTGATATATTCCTTATTGGCATGGTGGAAGACCTTATGCTTGCTATCATCAAGCCCTGCTCTTTCCACTGGCCGGATCCAAGCTTCGCCCGTCTCACGGCCCTCCTCGTCCCAGATGAAGTGCTCGTCGTCTCGCCAGTCTAGGAACTCATCAAGCGTAATAGGCTGTGACTGGGTGATAGACTGGCTACTGTTGGCCGAATCGAACGACATGGGAAGTGCCTGTGTGACAGGCTCCGCAACGCAGGACACAACCAGGTCCTGTGTCCGGTGGGTGTCTGTTGAGCGACGAAATGCAGTAGTAGTAGTAGTAGTAGTAGTAGTAGTAGCAGCAGCAGCAGCAGGAGGAGGAGAAAAGATTTGAAATGGGGATGCAGTGACAGCCGCGCTCAGTATTTGTGTGAGGGTGCACGAACAGGAGGAGGAGTGGCCGGTTTGGCAAAACTGAACGGTTAGAATTGGTAAAGAAACAGGGAGGACTGGCGAATGAAGTCGAAAAGGCGGGTTGGAGGGAGGCGGACAAGAATTCGCTGGGCAGATTTTGTGTAGTAGTCTGTTCGCTCTCACCGATGTGTGTACAACAGTGGTCAGCTAAACACGCGCTTGGCACTGTTTTTGGAGAGGACACACAGCCTTAGCCAATGTCACCAATCCAATCCACGCCGTGATTCAGCATGCTGCGCAATGCGGCTTGGGTCGTAGGGCCGTCCTGGGGGACCAATGAAAAGTGTTGGAGCGTACCTGGGTTGTCCTACAGGGAGTGAGGTGCCGGATGGAAGATGGGTGAGGAAGTCCAGCGCGGTACCGGGTTGGAATCTGACTGTCTTCTCAAAGGAACGGGCCGGGCGCAGCCTAAGTCTGTCGCCCTGTGGCACGCCCCGCAATGCATGCGTGGCAGCGGCAGTTGAAGCTGTTCATGGGTGCCTGATGGTGGGGTCCATCTGACGCCTACCCTGACCGATGTCCTGATGTGGTAGTCGCCATCGATTTGGAAGTTCGGGGTAGTAAACAGTCACACGTGGGAAGTAAATAAGCTCTGTGAATCACACCTTAAACTTTAAAATGAGCCATGCCCCAGAATCGGAGGGGTACTGAGTAGAGTGCACCTTCCTCCGGCCTGGATGACGACGGTGAAAGGGTAGAGGGTTAGGGTGCGAGATAATGTGGTTCGACTTACACGGGCTCTGCTCGCTGCCGAAATACACACCGAGAAGGCAGGTGACCCAAAACTTTGACAGATGACCACGTATATAGTTGGTTTGAAATTTTGCAGCTGTGAACGCTCGTACAATGTTGGAAAGAACGTATATCTTGGCTTTCCCATTCCACTGACCGGAGGCGTTCCACCCCGATTGCCTTGAGATGTCGAGATTTTGAGCATCATGACTCTTGCGGGTTCTTTATCGCGAGAAATGACGAGGCTCTTAAACTTTAACCCGAAGTCAGATATCCAAACTAAGTACCTACGCTATACGTGTTGGCCGACGCTTTCGATCACAGTATGGGTGCTGTCTGTGAGCCGGGCAAGTGGTTCCCAGAACTGTTGGTAAATACGAGCAATGAGAAAATATGATGGAATGTGAGCCTGTCAAGAATAGATACGACTATACATTATTTCATTAGCCTCAGACTTTCATGAGATGTGAGAATGTTGTGAAGTCAGTGAAGGGCTCTTGCACACCACACAGTGTTCTCGTTGTGGTGGCGTGCAGGGTTCCAGTCTGTCAGATTCGGCTCTGACGAGCTTGCCGTCTGCTCGGTTCTGCTTGAGGTAAGTTTGCCTGAGACATAACTGGTTCATGCCGTCATAAGGGCCTTGGAGGGTTATGCCACTGGAAAATAAGCGGATTTATGTTAAGGATAGTTTGGATGTTTGGGCCTGCAAATATTCCTATAGAAAAGCCAAATCTCAGCAGATGTAGCATCAATTGGAACTAGCCGCCCGGCTAGCTCAATCGGTAGAGCGTGAGACTCTTAAGGAGTACTCCGAAATCTCAAGGTTGTGGGTTCGACCCCCACGTCGGGCTCAATTCCCGTCTCAGACGATTATTTTTGCTAGAGAGATTCATCTCTCGCTTCTTTTTTCTTGCTTGTGTGTATTATTTCACAACACAACGCTCGGAGATATTCGTCCAGGGTTGTGTTGGACCATACATATGATCAATCCCTTGCGTCTGACAGGAAGGCTATCCACTCCCGTATGCTCTCTTACACCATAGACACCTTCTTAACGTGGAAACCGGCTCTCTAGTTCGATGACACAAACTCCACAAAAACGTCGACGATCATCTAGCGAGGAGCACCAGGTGACCTTTTCCTGTCTCCTTGTAGAGTTCAGGATCGAGATTCATAAAACACGCGTGAAACACTGCCACACTGCTCCAAGGTTGACATCGAACAAGAGCAGTCGTATCGCAGGGAGACTGGCGGCTACAATATCCCTTTCATCATAGTTGTTGATCAAACCCGCAAACACGTGGAGTTGGCTTCGACGAAGGCAACCGGGCATTCCGAGAGAAGCAAGCATAGCAGACCGAGTGTGCGAATCCAAACAAGGAGCCCCGAATTATCCCCTGGCCTCTCGGATCTTTATCTATTATTCGGCTCTACTTGCTCGGATTTAACTTTCTGGTGGTATGCAGTGGCAGGAAACGCCTGGCGACGCTCCTGGTGAGCTGTATGTAGGCTGGACACGGCTCCGAAAGTTGCATTTCACTGATGTGCGTCCAGGGCGGAGATTGTGTCCGATATGCAGGCCGGAGGAAAGGAGAGAGCCACTTGGGCAGGTTCGAAACTCGGGCCTTTTCGTACTGGCTCTGCATTGTGCATACCTTCATCAGTGAAAAAGATATTTGTGACTTGCGGGGGAGCTTTCACCAACTTTCGCTGCCTCTCTCGCTTGCCAGGGTCGACCAGGATCCCCGCGACAGAGGGGTCAACCCCGCAAAGATGTTCCACCAATGGTCTAGCCCTTTGCCGACCCCTGTGTGAGGTGCTCACATGCTTTTGCACAATGCACAGAGCACACAGAACACACATGGGAAAAAAGTGCGACGACAGTTCCAGGTTGTCCAACGAGGGGAAAAAAAGGGTGAGCCGAAACGAACATTGCGCATTGCATTGCGACCGCCCCCGGAACGCCGTTACGGGGACTAAAACTACTACCTACCGGACCAGGTCTACACAACACACGCCCCTAATGTGGCAGCAGCAAATCTCGCGGTCGTGGTCGTGGTCATGGACCAGCCGTCCCAGCTGTATCAGCCATACCAGCCGTAGCTGTAGTAGCAACAGCAACAAAGCCAATCGAAGTACTGTTCCCATTGGGGCGCTGTCCGTCTACTACTCCCGCGCTCGGCTTAAACAGAGTTGTGAGAATAGCTAGGGCCAGGCCTTAGATGACGTACCCCTCCTGGTCTGTCAGCCTGCCCGCATTCCGTCCCTCCAACCCCGCGCCGTCTCTCCTTTATCAGTCCCGGCAGTACCACCCCCTACAGTGCCCCGTTCGGTACCGCATTCATATCCTATTCATCCGCCATATCCTGTTATCATCCCCCCTCGACTCAATCCTCTGCAGCAGAAACGCCTTCGACCTTTTCACTCTACTGCCTGGTCGCCCCGGAGGAACAAGACATCAACAACAACAACAACAACAACAACAACAACAACACCACCAACAACAACAATAACAACAAGAACAACAACAACAACAACAGCACACAGCATGGGCGACCTTGGCGACTTCAACCCCATTCGCTTCGAAGAAGGCGGCATGGTGATAGACATACCCACGCTGAACCTCGACTCCCTGAAGAAGCCCGAAGCAACCATCACCCCTCTGTACCCCGACCACATTCCCACCCTCGAGACGCCCAACTTACATCCGCACCATGATAAGCACCTGCCGCGGGGCATTGAGGAGACACCTGAGGAACAGCGGCGCCACTGGTTTGTGGGCAGTATCGACCAGGGAACAACGTCATCTCGGTTCCTAATATTCAACGGAGAAGGCGACCCAGTTGCCAGTCACCAACTCGAGTTCGAGAACCTGTATCCTAAATCCGGGTATGTTGAAGAGCCCGCCACCTGACCCGCATCCCGTTGCTTTGGTCTCCGCTTCCCTGCCTCATCCGCCTCCACCTCCGCATGTGTCGCTCATTGCGGAGACCCCTCTGCTAACACAGTATTGATCTACAGATGGCACGAGCACGAACCGTTGGAGCTTCTCGCCTCCGTGGAGGAATGCATCGATGAGGCGATGCGCAAGTTTGTCGATCTGGGGTACCGAAAATCAGACATTCGGTCCATTGGCATCACCAATCAAAGAGAAACGACAGTAGTATGGGACAACAACACCGGCGAGCCCCTTTACAACGCCATTGTCTGGCCCGATACCAGAACCAAAGATCTGGTGAGGGACCTCAAGTCCCGTGACCAGGCCGACACATTGACAGACCTTTGTGGTCTGCCGCTATCAACATATCCCAGCAGTGTCAAGCTCATGTGGCTCATCGAAAACGTCGAGGCCGTAAAACAGGCTTATGAGGAGGGTCGCCTCGCCTTTGGAACAGTCGACTCATGGCTGATATATAAGCTCAACGGCGGGGCCAAGGCGGCAAAGCCCATCCATGTCACCGATAGCACAAATGCTAGCAGAACCATGTTTATGAATCTGCACACTCTCCAGTACGACGACAATCTGCTCAAGTTCTTTGGTATCGACAGAAGCAAGATCCACCTTCCCAAGATCGTTCCATCATCAGATCCATGTTGCTTTGGAAAAATTGCCAAGGGCGCATTGTCGGGAGTGCAGATTGCCGGGTGCCTGGGAGACCAGTCTAGTGCGTTGGTCGGCCAGTGTGGTTTCAGTCCGGGTCAAGCCAAAAACACCTACGGCACCGGTTGCTTCTTACTCTACAACGTTGGTACCAAGCCGGTCATTTCAAAATATGGTCTTTTGGCAACAGTCGCCTACGACTTTGGTGGTGGCCGCAAGCCCGTCTACGCCTTGGAGGGAAGCATAGCCGTCGCCGGATCCGGTGTCAAGTTCCTCATGAACAACTTGGGATTTGTTGACAAGTCAAGCGCCATCACTGAGCTGGCCGAATCAGTCGAGGATAACGGCGGTGTTGTTTTTGTCACCGCTTTCAGTGGTCTGTTTGCCCCCTATTGGATTGATGATGCCAAGGGCACAATTTGTAAGCACACCTCTCTCCCCGCTCTGCATTGCCCCCTAATTGCTAACGTATGCGTCTAGTTGGCATCACGCAACACACACAAAAAGGTCACATTGCTCGGGCCACACTGGAAGCCACGTGTTTCCAGACGAAGGCCATCTTGGACGCCATGGAAAAGGACTCCAATGCCAAACTCGAGTCTCTTGCGGTTGATGGTGGCCTGTCAAACTCTGACCTCTGCATGCAAACGCAGGCCGATATCACGGGAATCCCGGTTGATCGTCCAGGCATGAGAGAGACGACAGCCTTGGGTGCAGCCATTGCTGCTGGGCTGGCAACAGGTGTCTGGAAGGAGTTGAATGACCTGAAGGATGTGAATCAGGCCGGTAGGAAGGTGTTCAAGCCGAATATGGAGAGGAAACAAGCAGAGAAACTGTTCAAGAAGTGGGAGCAAGCTGTTGAGATGAGCAGGGGGTGGGTTAATGAGGTTGCCGATGGTGAGGAGGAGTGAGTGGAAGGATATGATGTTTCAAAAGGTGTTATTGCAGGAGTTGGGGTTCGGAGGTCTCGTTGTTTATTTCAATTTGGGCGGCATTCTGGGTTGGTGAATCTAAGCGGCACGGCATCATGGTTTGTTTGGGTTTGGGCCGATGTTTTCGACTCGAAATGGAATGGAAAGGGAGAGAAAGGGATATACTGATCACGATTGTGTGGATACCCTTTGGCTTGGTGTGTATTTTTATGCGGTGGGGAGGTGGCTTGTACGTACATAACCTTGCGGGAGTGGTGGGTTTGAAGGGAACTGGGTGTTTGAGAGATAGTTCCAACGAAGAGTACTGCTTCGATAAATCAACTTTGGGGTTCGATGCCTGATGCTTATCAGTGAGAGGGGTTGTCTCCTCCCAGCCGTCAAAACCTTAAGCCTTCCAAGGCCACATGAGCAAACATTTTAAAAGCCACAGCTCCACAACCAGGGACGGGGATGAAGGCGTACTTGGTGAGATTACTGAGCTTGAATAACCACATATGGAAGCTTGTCCCAGCACGGATTAACCCAATCGCAGGTGAGAATGGTGTCGTGCACCCTGTGCGATTAAGACTTAGGACCCTCCCCCGCAAGGAAGACAACGACCACGACGGAACACGACATACGAAATGGACTTTTGTTGGCAATTGCGCCGCTGCCGATATCACCTATTACAACATGGCATTCCGAATGTTTGGCGACATTTTGAAAGTCCTGCTTGATTATGGGGACGGGATCAAGCTGGACGCGCCGCTTACGCCCCCGGATAGCAGCGAGTCGGAGACGGGCTTTCTGCTGACGTCTGCAGTGGATTCCATAAAGGCATCATGGGATCCTGAAGGGTTCTTTGCGAAGGTGTTGCTGGAGGAGGCGACGGAGAAGAACTGGTCGGGCAGGAAGAAGGGAAGCGATGAGCGATGCATCGGCGAGGGCTGTGGAGGGGCATTGGTCCTGGCATTTGGCCGGGGCCGGTGAAGGCGCTTGTGGAGCACGGAGCCGAGGTACCTGATCACCTCGACGAGGCAGAGTTGGATAAGATTGATAAGATGCTTCGTCGGTTTGCTGCGTTGGATAGGAAACGAGCAAGGGTCGAAAAGGGGCAGCAGACAGAATAGAAAGAATAAGAGCAGCAGAAAGAAAAGGAGTAGAAGGAATAGGTGAGTTTCTGGAGGAGGAGAAAGCCTTGACGGGAGATGTCCAAGATACGAGGTTTTGGGCTCAGGTACGTACTGCCGAGCGGAGCTGGGGCTTTTGGATGGGATACCTACCTACTTCAGCAAGGTGGTGGTCAAGCAGTTATATTTGCCTACTTGATGCCCACTGGCTTTGTGAAGAACGTTTACATGCAGAGGGCTTGGTCAAATAGTCAAAAAGTGAGTTGAAAAAGTCTGTCTAAAAAGCTTTCGGGTAGATTTCTCATAGGCCTCTCAGGTATGGTTTATGCCGTGATATTGAAGGAAACAAAACAGGAAGCTACAGTCGGTGTTGCCTGGTCGGATCCTCACAATGTCCGGGCAGGACGGTCTTGATAAGTTCTCTTTGTGCTGTGCTGTTTATCATGCGCGGCACTGCATCACAAGTGTCTTTTATCGGCGATTGTGAGGTTTGCCTGGCACTATAGTGGGAAGAGGGCGATCGAGACTATAAAAAGCTCGTATGATTGACAGAGTCGGACATGGTCCTTTTCTTGATTCAAGTTTCAAGAGTTGTTGTTTTGACAGTGGTGTTGTCAAAGCTGACCAGGTCAAGTCTTGGCATTAACCCCCCTTATCCCACCCCTTTATTTGTTTACTTTCTTTCCATTTTTGGTTGTCTTTACAGGGCAACAACACACACGCACAGCAACACCGGTATCCACAGAACAGTAATGAATAGGTATCCTGAGTCAGTTGGATTTTCTACTCAACAGTCTTATACTGTATGGGGGTATCTCACTAATCCCCTCCTTCATTTCTATCCCTCCTGCACGAGCCAAAATAAGGTGGGAATTTTGCAGTACACATGCACACACAAGACATACACTGTCACTCACACTGACAACCGCCATCCTGACATCCACTCTCAGAACAACACATCACAAGCATGAACCCCAGCAGCAACCCCCCCCCCCCCCCTAAACGCCCTCCTTGCCCTCCTCTTCGCAATCCTCTAGCGCGAAGAAGATCCCCCGAGTCTACACATCCATTTCGACAGCCTCTCCCTCAACCTCTTCTTCTCCTTCCCAGGGGAATCCAACCCCTCCCCCAGGTTCCTTTCCGTCACAGCGCACTTGCTCGCTCTCTTGGAAGAGCCAAACAAGCTCCTGCTCCTCTTCACCATCACTCCATGCGTCTCCCTATCTGGCGAGGAGACAACCTTGATGGTGATACTGCTGTTCCTATGAATGTTGCTCCCCTCAGCCTTGAGTGAAGGACGGATCGGAGCAATTGGCTGGGGCGCGGAAACTGGTGCTTCGGGGTGGGCTTGGGCCTGGGACAAAACCGCAGTCTTCTTGGCCGCGTTCATCTCTGCTACTTCAGCTACCGTAGCTTCAGAGGTGGAGCTCGCTTGAAGCCGCCTCTGCATGTAAGCCGCGCCTGTGCTTGTCGCTCTGCGGGGGGCTGCTTTGGGGTTGTTGGTGGACATGTTCGATACGGGCGTTGACGAGCGGGAGATAACCGGGGTACTGGTAGGTGTAGCCGATCGCTTGTTGTGGTCCGATTCTTCAATCAGACATTGCGCGGGAAGCGAGTTCCGCTTGGTGATCCCCATGACGAGGTCTGCGCATTCGGATCGCTGCCCGGCGTCAGATGCGTTGGAGGCTCTGCTGCCCCAGGTATTCCTGCGGCTGCGCCCAACACGTGTGGCCGCTGTACATGGCGTGGCCGCTGCGGATTCTGGGCCGCTGTTAGTGGGTGTGTGGGCTGGTGACCAGCCTGAAGAAAGAGCCACCCAGAGAGCTGTCACGGAAATGAGATTCTTGGTCGCTTCATCGATTAAGTGAACTGGTCCCTCGGCCATTTCCTGGGTGAAAGAAACCGGCATCCCAAGACCGGAGTCGCTTTCACCGTCAGTGGAGAAACACAATGATGATTGCTGAGATGGAGAATTTGGAACAGTGCTGCAGGTTACGTTGGAGAGAGAGCGGCCGCGGCCGTGCCGCGGGGGTTGATATCGATTGGATGGGTTCGAAACAGAAGCATAGGAGTCGCGGATGTCTAGAGATGAAGGCGTAAGAGATGCCATGACTGGATGCCTGCGAGTGAGGGGGTTGATCATGCTGAATGTGAAGCGGGTTTGCGGCGTTGTTGTAGACGATGGTGTACTCGGCTCTGTCGGATGCGATGTTGGCGCCGATTTGTGCCTGCGAGCCCATCGGGCTGTGGTGGTGTTGCCATTATCATCGGTGTGCGCAAAGTCCCAAGAGCCATTTGGCAGTGGCCTGGCAACCCACACCGTCCCGTCATCCAACACGATTTCAGCCTCGTCCGAATGGCGCAAGGGGCTATAGACGGCAACGAGTCTCCTTTTCTCGAGCGCGTCGTCGCTGTCACCTTCGGTGCTGTCGCTTTCCACATGATCGTCGTCCCTCCTCACCAAAACAATGTCATCGTAAGCCAATGAGTGCTTGACCCCAAATATTCCTGGAAACCTCTTTGCCAACCGGGGAGCTATAACCGGACCGGCGATTCGGCTCGAAGGAAACACTTCAAGCACTGGTCTTGACCGTCCATCAGCCGATACCAACTGAAGCTGGAGAAGAAGCCTCGGCAACACCTTGCGCACATATTTGGTCTTGTCGAGGAGCTTCGGGGTGGGATATCCAAGGCCGTAAGTGGTGCTCTTGCGCTGGACTCTATGGCGATGTCGTCGTGGTGTGGACCGGGCTGTTAGTGTACCAGCATTCGGATTCGTTACATCACTAAGCTCCGAATCCGATGGTGGTTCTGGCATGGCGGGCGTTTGAGGAGGGGCGTCCTCCTCGGGGTCCTCGCGAAAGCGCACAACGGGTGAAAGTGCGCGGGGGATGTAATCAGACGCCGGACGTTGGCGGATGGGGGCGGAGGCGCCATCCACGTTCACCCGTTGTTTTGGTGGCGCAAAGGCGGAGCGTAATAAGGGGCTTCGTAGGTTGTGGGTGGCGACTGGAGGTGTAGATGGTGAAGGGCGATTCGAATATTCATGGCCATGGAGGCTCGCGCCCGAGTGAAGAAACATTATTATACGTTACTTCCTACACGCATGGAAAAGGATAAAAGACGGCGCAAAGTACAAAAACAGAAAATTAACGTGGAGTTGGGATTGGAAGCTGCAAAGGACCGGCCCTGCGTTAGATGGTGTGGGGTTGGTGGTTTGGAGGCTGTTCCAGCTGTTGTGATCCAACAGCTCCAGCTACCCTGGGGCGGTGCTCGCGATAGCACCTCCACCGGGCGTCGACGTCAGGAGTGGGCAAACTCCACTGGTTGAAGTTGCCTCCTCTTCTTGGAGGATCAACCGGTTGTGACGGAGGAGTGACGAGCGGCAAGCCAAGCTGCCGAGGCAAGCGAATCTGCAAGTCACAACAGTAGCCGGCAAGCTACAGCAGCTGCCATCGATCGATCGAGCGGTGCGAGATGTAGCGTGCTGCCCGTCGCTTTTGGTGCCACTGTCGTGTCTGTCTGACAGTGTCACAAGTCAATGCCGGCTTCGCAATTGATCTTGAGCCTATGGGTCTGTGGGAGCCTGGTGGTTGAAAGAGAGCGAGCGTAATGCTGTTTGTGGGTTCGGGATGGCGTGGTTGCTGCTTGCTAATAAGTAGCGAAAGAATGTTGAGAATAGAGAAAGCTGGAGAAGGTGTTAAGCAGTTGAGCGGTCAATGGTTCACCTCAGAGGAGGGAGGCCGAATTGATGAACCACGAAGCCGCTGCAAGAGGAGCTGGCGTTGGTTTTAATTAGCTGAACGCCGTCCAACGCCCACTCGGCGCGGCTGCCAGTGTATTTGGCGCGTGGCCAATAAGGCCGAAGCTAAAGCTATGGAAGGAGCGGAAAACCTCGTGCTTCCCGGCTCCGTTGTGGGCTCTTTGCAGCTCGTGGGGACCATGAAAATCAGTGGGTGGAGGGGCACAGCGCGGGAGATTCTGGTTGCTGGAACGGGTTTGGGGCAATCAAAAGGTGCCGATGATTTGGGAAGCGTGGAAGGGCCACGGTACCATGCGGCCGGGTCGATTTCGATATTGATTGATGTTGAACAGTCCGGGAGGTGCCGATCTTTAGACTTCAAATACCTCGACAAAGACTTGATCAACTGCGCGACAATGAGAAAAATAGAAGCATATTTGGGAAGAGGTTGCGAGGCGGTCAGCCTGCTCGACCAAGGGAGACCGGGCAGTACCCAGAGAGGCCGGGTCTCGGTCTATGGTTGAAAGTGGGTTCCTTCGGCGAGGTGTGTTGTTCTCGCAGCATCGGATGAACCAATGCGTTTTTTTTCTGCTTCCAATCAAACATGTCGATGTTTCTGGGCAGGTAAAACGTTGGAAGAAGCGATCACAAGAAGCTGAGCTTTGTTTCGAGACCAGGAACAAGTTGATGGCAGCGTGGGAAGCAAGGTTACTCCAGGTTACACAGGAGGTTGTTCTGCTGCATTGGCTTGGCAAGTCGGCATGGTGTGGTGACATCTGGAAGCGGGAGTACCTTTCCCTTCCCTGGGGAATGACAACCGAAGCATTAAGGACTTCCTACGAAGTAGAAGTCACCCACACTGCCACAGCCTGTCAAAAGTATTTCGCACTCTATTGACATCAAGCTTTCCCGGCCAGCTCATCATTGTCATCGGATGAACCTGCAAAGTCATTCATCGGGTTCCTGTGCCGAGAATGCTTGGCACAGGCTCGGGAGCCCCACCCCGCCGCGCCCCGCCCGGGACCCGGAGCTTTTCACGACACCGATACCCGTTCGCAGTTTTGTAATGTTGCCGAGATATTCGACGAAAAGGCCTCGAACACCCATGATCACACGAATCATGATTAATTTAAGATGGATTCTTTGGAATTCCAAGATTATGATATAATTATGACGCTGAGGTGGGAGACACCAACCGCATTTTTGCGATTCTGTTGGAAGGACTGATATCCCAAGGAAGGCCTGACGTGAATTATTGAACCCGAAGAATACGGCCGCCGCCATGATCCGAACGGCTGACGAATGATCGGCGCTCAGGGTCGCTCATCTTCAACTGGCAAGTTTCGAGAAAAACGTGGAAAGCCACCTCTCCAAGCCACCCTTTGAACGTCAGAGTGGGACCCATCAGCCTCACCTTGTTTCAATTGCATGCCCCACATCCAGTGCTGCCAACCGAAACCTGAGTTGCCAAAACGTCCTTCATGAGCCAAAGGCCGGCCGTTACAACAACGAGCAGAAACCGGCACAGCATCTCGCATTCTGCTTTCCTGTGGCGTTGTCTTTGGAGAAATTAATTTTCGTTTTTAGACTTGCATCCTCGGAGCCATGTGGGTTTGGACGTTGAACCCGGCATTCTAGTTCACCCGACCATGACAGCCTCATCCCCCAGCTTCAAGAGCCCCCGTGCTCATGCCCCCACCACGACCACCATCACCACGACCACCATCACCACGCCCAGCACCCGCATCATCAGTAGTGCCCAACCATACAGAACACTGGTGACCGCATTTCTGATATGGAAAGCTGTCTTGTTTGCCATTGCCCTGGGAAGCACCCTCGTGGGCGACGCCTATGACACGTCCGCCGACCTCTTGGTGCACGGTGGCGTGGAAGCGGCAACGACGGGCCAACAACGGGCTCAGCAGCCATTGGGTCTTTCTGGTGGTCTGGTCTCGCGGTTTGCCAGCTGGGATGCCATTTACTTTCTCAGTTCTGCAAAACGAGGATATATATATGAACAGGAATGGGCCTTTGGTGCTGGCCTGCCCATCGTGGTCAGAGGGATTCTTCAAGGTAAGTTGATGGGACACTTGTCAACGGGACCGCAATGCAGAGGCCATGAAGCGTTTGGTGATCTTTGTTGGTTACATTCATATATATCTCCATCAATATGGAATGCTGACACATGGTGTTCACAATCTGGTAGGTGCAAGACATGTTGGTATCGCTCCCCCAGCAGATGGGGGTGTTCTCCCTGAAGCTGTCATTGGCGTCACTGTCGCCAATACAGCACATTTTCTCTCGGTGATTGTGCTCTTCCGCCTCGGACAGGTTGTGTGGCGGGACCGCACTCTATCTTTGGTTACGGCTCTGCTGCACATCGTCTCGCCTGCTGGCATGTTTCTCACGGCGCCTTACATGGAAAGCTCCTACGCCTTTCTGGCCTTTACCGGATATCTTCTCTTTGCACTGAGTAGCCAAGCTGAGAGTCGTGCACTTGCTCGTGATGTGTATTTGGTGCTCGCAGGGATTTTCTTTGGTCTGGCCACAGCCTTCCGAAGCAACGGCATTCTGAATGGTATCCCATTTGCCTGGGAAGTTCTGCGGCACCTCCCGAATCTGCCGCATAAGCCTTTCGACACCATCCGCCGCCTTGTCGCGTTGGGCATCGGGGGTATCTGCGTAGCTCTAGGGTCCATAATCCCTCAGGCCATCGCTTATGGGCAGTTTTGCTCCGGTGCTTCCGGGGTAGATCCTCGGCCATGGTGTGAGGCTTACTTACCGAGCATCTTCACCTTTGTCCAGGAGCACTATTGGTAAGTTTTCTTGCCTCCCGGTATTTTCCGCCAACATCACCTGCTTACTCAAATTTTTCCTTTGACGTTCAGGAATGTCGGCTTCCTCCGCTACTGGACGATTTCTAATCTCCCATTATTTTTGCTCGCCACCCCGATGCTGGCGATCCTAGTTCGATCGGGAGTGGAGCAACCCACATCGGCTCGGCAGCCTGTGATTGCCGCCAAACCCGTCGAGTCGGCCCAACTGACGTCGCTTGTTCAGTCTGCAGCGGCGGCTCAAGTGGTGCTTGCTGTGCTTGCTATTGCCATGTACCATGTGCAGATTATCACGAGGATATCGTCTGGGTATCCGCTGTGGTATTGGTGGGTGGCCGGGAGCTTGATTCGGGGCGAGAAGGTGGGTGGATATATTGTCAAGTTTATGGTTTTGTATGCCTTGATTCAGGGGGTGTTGTTTACTTCGTTTTTGCCCCCTGCATGAGCGTGCTGTGTGTAGGGAGTTATCAGTATTATATTATGTATCTATCTAGTTGGTATATGCCGTCCATATCCAGTCTCGTATCCCGTCGTGTTTGATCCTACGTCTATATATTTGTGTTTCGTTCGAAAGCGATATCCTGTTGCCATTGTTGTCGTACCCGGCCAGTTCCAAGCCTGGTTTTCGTTTCTTCCTTCATTATTTCCATCTCTTCTGTTCACATGTCCTTTAAGCTGGATGCCGTTCCCTCTCTTCCCTCATTACTTCCATCTCTTGTTTATCGTACCCAATAGTCCCATGTATTCACATATCCCAATATCCAAATTATCAACCCGTTCATTGCTCTCCGCCCTCCTCCTCCTCATTATCGCCCTCCCCCATAACCAACCCAGCCCTAACAAGCCAAACCCCGGCCATAACCGGCGTAGTCACCAACCCCAACACTCCTCCCAAAACAAGCTTAAACACCTGCGGCGCCCAAGTAGCATCATACTCCCAGTCCCCCTTTCCGTTTGCCTTCCCGGCAGCAATCAACAACCCCACCGTCGGCCCCCAAAAGATCAAAAAACTGACCACCGCCACAAGCATGCTCCTCGCCGCCTGGCCCAAGAGGAACCCTCCCCATCCAAGAATTCCGGCCCCCGATGATGGGTAAGGCCACACAGAGACGACAACCTCTTCCAGACGGCCCCTACCCCCCTTCTCATCGCCCCCAGATGACACCACCGGCACCGTCGCCGGTAACGAGCAAAGCCACCTAACCAATCTGTTGTTACTGAGCAGAGAAGAAGAGCTGAACATTCCTATGGGAGGTACACCCCCGGTCTTGAGGTCACGGTTCACAAGGAACAGCTCAATGAGCCAGGTGACGAGACATTGGAGGATGATGGTTACCGCCGCGTCGCCCGCCAGCGTCGAGGGGAAGGACCATAACGTGATCTTGTCTGGGGGCTGGGGGGTTCCGTCTGGGTTGGTGCCAGGGCTGGTGGTGTACTGAGGGGCGGTGTACATTGCGTAGGCGATTGCAAAGTTGATGCCGCCTGATAGGATCAGGGCGCCGAGGCCGTCGAGGAGGAAGAGGTAGATGAACTGGGGGGTTGTGAGCTTGTTTGTTGGGGGGAGGGGAAGGGCAGGAGGGGAGAGGGTGATGGTTGTGCTTGGTGGGAGGCTGGCGTTGTCGGGAGGGGAGATGGGGCGGATGGCAGTTTCAATGTCGGGTTTGGGGGTGGTGATGTTGGATGTTGGTGGTGGTGGTGGTGGTGGTGAGCTGCGGGAGAAGGGGTTCGGAAGTGTCATTGTGATTGTTGGTGATGAAAAGAGTTCGTCAAAGTCGCGATGGTGAGTGAGGTTGAGAGGGAAAACTGAAAGATAAAAACAAGATCTAGATCATATCACTAAAATGTTAAATCGTGAAAGATACTTGACGATGGTTGTCTACCAGACAATTGAAAAGCAAGGAATGAAGAGCGGTGTGTGTCCCAAAATCTCCGTCATGCGATGATGTGAGACCCGTGAACAGGTCGACTGAGTGATGCCAAATGACAAACGCGTCTTTCTTTCTCTCCCATCCACGAAACCAAACCCATCCCTTTCTCGATCGAAATTTCTCCCAGCCACTAGGGGCCTAGGCCACCCAATGCCCAACCCTACAACATCAAACCTGTCTGAGATGAATGCGCCGTTTGAGCAGTTTGAATGGTTGAGCCGTTGCGCATTCGTTGGCAACGCTACGCCAAGGTTGGGCGGTGGGGCGTTGCTGATCAGGGTCCAGTTCATGCGCTCGGTGGCCGATTGGTTGGAATGAAGACAAGCGATCCACATTGCCGTTTATTTTGGGGATAGCGCCAGGGGTCTTGGACGTGCCGTTTCTTGGCCATCTCGAGGGTTGTCATGAATATCGTTCTGAAGAGAGTTATGTTAGACCACACAGGCAAAACCAGATGGTGTGAGGATATAGAAAGTACATCTTGGAGCTCATCCAACTCACACGCTGCATCCTCCAAGGGAGGTATAAATATGGACTGTAGCAGCTAACAATGATAAGAGATCATATCACCTCGAAAAGTCTTGCGTGTCAGAAATATGCAGATATCCTTGAGAGTTTGAGGTAGCATACTCATGTGTCAGCAGAGGACTGACGATGGGTTTAATTTTTATTAAATTTAAAAGTAATAAATTACCCAAGTAAGTTACTATCAAAGAGAGTTAAACTTTAATATAGGTAGTAGATGTGGACGGCAAAACAATAGGGTAAACAGCAACAATGAAGGTGAAAAAGTAACTCAAACAAGCAATTGTGGAAAGACAGGCATCGGCTAGTAACAACATCAATGTAGGAAAGAGCCAGCGGTCGTGCCTGCCAATCATGCCATATGCGACCTCGCTCCTTCCCTCCCTTCATAACCCATGTTTTCGCGCACCCTGATATCTGAGAGCAAAGGAGTGGGTGGACAGGCAGTATGGCCTATCGGTCACCCGCGACGCAACGTGGATTCCTTTACACCTGCTGCCCGGTCGCTCTGATCTCTCGGAAACCCACCACCCATCCCAGTGATTCCTGAGGCTGGAATGCCATAGGTTGAGGGTTCGATTCCTTTTTGGGGCGGCCGTCTTTTTGCCCCTGACTTGAGGAGAGAAGCTTGCTGTGAGGTTACTTCCTCTATTGTAAGCCCGCAACCATCACCCATCCTTCCTCAACTGCTTGCCCGTTCTTTCCTGGTCATTAGAGGTTGCTGCCCCTTACAGAATAGGTGCGACCGCACCATGCCTTTCCACTGCCGTTTCCGTAGGCTGTCGGTCAGGCGAAACACTGCTTGCTGCGGAGGCATATGATGTTTGCGTAACAGCAGCTACTTTGCCATATCGTGTTCCTTCCTCTTTCTGACGACGACTATAAACCCCCCCTCGGGAACAAATTCTCTCCTATCTCTTCTCTTTAATAAATTCGTAGGTGATAGAGTCGTCAAAGTCCCTTGCCGTTCTGTCACAACATGATGACATGATATTTATCGAGCTTGCTTTGCCTTTCAACGATACAGAAGCGTTTAAACCTGCACCCCCCAACTCGGAAACATTTTTTTCAACCAGGTCCCAGCAACACGTCTTTACTACTCTCTCACATTCCATAATTCCCATCAAACCAGCCCTGGCCCTTATAGTCCCCCCCCAGCACCGTCTCGATTGCCACCGGACCCCCCAACCTCCTCGCAAAGCTCGCCCTCGTCCCGCCCGCCCCCGGGCCCGAGTTGGCATACTCCCCAAAGTAAACATTCGACGTCCTCTCATCCCCCGCATTCCAAATCCTCCATCCCGCCCCATTGACAACACCACTCATGGTCGTATTCTGAAACACAACCCTGGCGTACTCCCTCCACGGCCTACCCAGGTAAAACGCCCCGTTGTTCACGCTCTGCCCTGACTTGGCTGCGATGTTGCAGTTGTTGAAGACATAGAAGTTTGGCGAGGCGGAGTTTGATCTCCCAGACGCTACCCGATGTCAGCCCTGTTCAAGGGAGGTGGGGGAGGGGACTTACCAGTAATATATCCTACCGAAGACGACAGCACTCTAATATCGCACCTCTCAAACCAAGCCGGGCTTTCCTGTCCAAAAATAAAGTCCGTCACCCCGACGATCTCGCAGCGGGAATAGTACTGCTTCCCCCGGTTGGCGAGGACGGTGTCTTGATACCCCTGGAAGGAGCAGCCGTAGTAGCCGCTGTCGGCGTACGCGGACAGGGCTACGGCTTGCGACCCCTTGCCGTAGGAGTTTACGATATTGAGGTTGTAGATCTTGACGTTGTTGGCTTTTACACGGACGGTGCCCGTCTCGTCGTTGGAGGCGCCGGTGTTGGCTTGGGATTTGGACTGGGTTATTGTTACGGAGTTTGAGGTGTAGGAGGCTGAGTTGGTGGTTGAGCCGTAGATGGAGATGGTGGATTTGACGGCGGCGGGGATGAGGACTTGTTCTTGGTAGGTGCCGGGGTAGAGGAAGATGCAGACGGGGGAGGTGGAGGTTGTGGAGAGGGAGGTGATGGCGGAGGAGAGGGTTGAGAATTGGGCCGAGTGGGCTGAGGGGGTCTTGGATACGCGGATGCAGGAGGAGGATGGGGGGGTGGTGCGAGCTTGGGCTGCCGTTGAGGGGATCAGCCCGAGAAGGGGGAGGAGGAGGGGGAGGAGGTGCATTTTGGCGGTTGGGTAAGGTGGGAAAGGGGAGGTGGTGAAGAGGAGGGGGATTTGCACGGGAGGGTTCATGGGGTGGTATTATAGAGACACAAGCCGGTACTCCGTAGATCACATGCGAGATAGATCTTGTGAAGGCGCGGAAAATCTTGAATCTTACCTATCTTGGCGGATGGGCCATCAAATGCTACCGCCGCCGAACACCTTGCTGGAGAATTGCATGCGGAAGATGGGTGAACGGAGGTCGTCGAGTCGGAGAAATGCCGAATTGGGAAGATTCGGGGGAGGTGATTGGTGGACATTTACAATCCCCCTTCTAGTCGCATCATAGGGCTGTTCCACTTTGTTCCGTGTACTCTTCTGCTCTTTTTTGTTGTTTTCTCTTAGTTACTTTCACTCTTAATTTTGAAGGATCTGTCTGTTGAGCGTGACTTTTGTCAAATCAACCAACGAATGCCCCCTCTTTGCTAACATCTATCCAAAGCCATCTGCTGCCAAAGTAATGGCGTCAGAAGCGGCTGTTTAGCCGGAAGACGACTGGTGCGCATCTACGTCTATGTAGTACATAGCCATCCGGACATTTGGGATCTCTTGGTATGGTTTCGGTACCTGACATCTTGACAGAAGCAATGCGGGTTCATTTGCGGGTGAATTTGGTGATGGCTCCCGGCATTTTGATTGGTCTGCCATCGTGGATATATTTAGTAAACATGTTTTAGACATTTCGATCATATCACTGAAGGAGTCAAAAGTCGTCGAGGTCACAGAAACAATCACCATGCATCAAGGAAAAAGACTTTGAACAAAAAGTCATGTTTGTCTAACCCAGGGTCATCCATGTGAGCCAGTCGTTGACTACATATGCCGTCTCCTCCCAGATAAAAGTCCCCGGGAGGAAACCAAATAGTGTACGAAAAGAAGAAGAAAGTAGCAAAGCCATATATACATGAGAATAAAACTTGTAGTTTTGTTTTGGGATCCCCAGCCTCTGATCCCTCAAAAATGGGAGCAAGCCATCAGCCGGGGGCCCATAAATTTGTGGTGCACCAGGCTTAAAAATGTTTGCTTCGTATGCACATCAGAGAATCGAAATCAAAAGTTCCTTCTCTCGAAAAGAGGTTGACCGCTTAAGCGCGGGCGACCTTGCGGAGGTGGCGGCGACCGAGACCGGGGCAGCGGGTAGGCTGGGGGCGGGTGCTGATAGGACGAGTGCTGGTCTGGACAGGCACGGCAGTCTGAACAGCAGAGGTCTGAGCAGCAGAGGTCTGGACAACAGAGGTGACGATGGTGGTAGGGCTGGGTACAACGTTGACAGCGGTGGTAGTGGCAATAGGAGCAGGGGCGTTGGTGGCAGCGCCGGTGATAGCGGTGGCAGAGGAAACGATGGCGGAGGAGCCCTGAGCAACGGGAGCGAAGCCGGCGGGGAGAGCGGGACCGGGGATGGGGTAGCTGTCGAGGGAGCGGTAGATGTTGAAGCGGATACCAGCGTCGGTGGGAGTGTAGAGGGAAGTACCCTTGACACCCTGGGGAAGGACAGTGCCGGAACCAGTGACCTCAATGTTGAAGCACTGAGGGTAGTTCTGGGCGCCGTTGAGGTCGCCGCCGGAGTGAAGGGCGATGATCTCGTGGCGAAGGACGTACTGGCCGGGACGGATGTTGGCGGGAATCTTGATCATCCAGCTGTTGTTGTTGTCAATGAGGACATCGGAAGCCCACCGGCCAGGGGCCTGGGCACCGTTGACAAGACCAGCCTCGGCGATCTTGAAGAACTCGAGAGCAGTCTTCTCAATCTTGTCGCAGCCAGTGTTACCGCACGAGGCAAGGTAGTCAATGACGGGGCCGTGGTGAGACTCGGGCCAGGTGTCCCACTGAACAAAGACGCTGTCACCCGCGGCAACAACGATGCGGCCCTGAGCGTTGGCCGAGTTCTTGTGGCAGATAATGTCGCTAGAGGCGAAAGACTCGGGGCCAACGAAGCCATTGTCGGTGTTGGAAGCGGTCCAGGCGGCAACCTTGGGGGGGTTCTGAGTGTAAGGGAAGCTGTTGATGTCGTAGCCCTGGAAGGAGGCACCATTCACGACAACGTTCTTGACGTGGCCGTGGGCGTTGACAGCAGCGGCACCGGCCAAAGCGGCGAGGAGAGTCTTGGAGGTGAAGGAAGGCATCTTGAAGGGTTGATTTCGAATCGCAAGGATGGTGGTGTTAAAAGCGTTGAGCAGGTCCGTCTAGCGGGGATATGTGGATTGTAACTTGGTGTTGGTTGGTGATGATAAGAGATCGGAAGAAATGTCTTCAGTCAATGAAGTGAGTGTAGGTATACAATGAATGTAGTTCGAAAGAAAACGAAGGAATGGCTCAAAAAATGAATGGCTTTGCTAGAAAGGTCGCGTTGCGCCTGGTGAGGAGAAAAGGTGGGTGCTGGAGGGAAGCAGTCGAGATGTTATATACCTGATCAATCCTGAGATTATCCCATGACTGTGTATGAGCTTCCCTGCTCGAAGATGGATGTCAGACCCCTGAACGGTGGCTTGCCTACTTTAGGGGGTGGGCGCCGGGACCAGGATGAGCCCACAATGGTGGACGCATCGTGCGTCCGGTGTCAAACGGTGATGACGAAGGCAAACAGAGTGCTTCACCCATGGACTTGAGAAAGGAGTCTTCATACTGTTTCAGCAAAATTAGCTTCCTAGCCAACCCACCCTGGCGGGATCTCCCCTCTTTCCGTTCTCTTGACTCTTAGGACCTCAGTTATCGTCAAGGTCAGATCGACGCCCAAGATCCAGAGAATCTTCTCTTGTCCAGGTCCAGAAGGCGCTGTGTACCAGCCCGCGGCATGTGAAGCGACGGCCAAGGGCGGCATGGCAAGTAAACAGGATTGACGCCCTTGACAACGAGACATCCCGACTGGAGCTGATCTCCCATGGTGGAGTTTAAGGAGCATTGACAACCCAGGCATTCACACTTTCAGGTAAGTTCAAGCGGATGCTCACCGTCAACGTCGTCTCTGGTGTGGGCGTTCGAGGGAGTGGTGGGTCAGCCCATGTGTGTGCCCATGCAGCTGGGAAGTGATGTGAGGCATGGATGTGTGTAGATCCAAAGAAGTGGTGGTTGGCAGCGCATGATCTGACCTCAAGGGACCACTGGCGGGCTCGGCTGGGATCCCGCAGTCAAGGCATGAAACAAGGGGGAAGGTTGGTTATGGGACGAAAGCGGGGAGTTGGGGCGGTTGTGATGCCGCCGTCGACGTCGTCGAAAGCTAGATACGGGTTGTGGGCGGCGGCGGGCAACGGTTTGTTGAATTAGGGGAACGCTTATGCAAGGACAGTGTCTCGCTTGTGTCTCCTCGAGCCGAAAACCCCACCACACCCCACGAAGACCACTTCGTCACCGTAGCTTGCGAGATTCGACAGCCCTTCCAGACGCTCTTGGTCAACGGTGGCAGGGATTGTGATGGAGGCGCAAAAGTAGCCGCCGTTGACAGACCGGGATGTTGTCTGACCGCCACGGCGACATGACCCAGATTGCGGGAAGCCGGCCCGCGAGGGATTCGGATCAAGAACTGCTGCTGAGGGTCGTGATGTTTGTACAGAGAGCAAACAGGGCGAGATGATGCCATTCATCAGCCAGCGCTTGCAATCTCTCTGTATTGGCCTGCCACATGAAACACTCAAGCGCCTCTTGTCTGCGGCTGCCAATGCCCAATATCCGCCGTCCTGGTTTCAACGGTCAAGCGGGGTTCGACGGATATTCGGTACCAGCTTCCCAGGACACGGCCATGTCGATCGGCGCCGCCTTACCGGTAGTGGTCCATGTGAAGGCACCGTAGCTGACTTCATCAACGCGCATCGCCAGGCAGCAAAGTACCGGAGCGGTCGTGCTGGGCGCAGCGAGCGATCCTATGGGCGAGGTGGTGCGTTACGCAGCATAGCCTAGCGTGATATTGTACAGGTTCTCCAAGAATCTGTCGTCCGAAGTCATCCATCCATGTTCAAGCATCACCACCGCAAGCCGCCGGCCGAAGTGGAGGAATTGCTGAGGTTTCGTGTGTGGAGCAACGGAGATGAGAAGGGGACATCGTGCCACTGCCTTGCTGAAGTGCCGTGGCAGGGCGGCTCCATTATCTGATCACTAGTGAGGGGTTAGGGTTCAGAGATGGGTTAGATCCGTCGAATTGATATATCGATGCTGAAGACCACAAAACGGGGAGGACCTGCCCATATTGTGAAAGCTTTGGGTTTCCATTTGTTTTGTACTCGAAATCAGAAAAGATGTGATTGATCTATTGGACACTGACTCAGTTGCTGTCCCGAGCTGCAGTTCATCGGACTTGTACAGCAGCATAGGTATCCATCACAACACCTTACATACCTGATGAAGTTTCCCCGCATCTCTCTGTGCCTTCCACTCAGCTTCCATCCAAACTTCACTTTTATTGTGGCGGAAAAGGAAAGCAGACAGAGCTCCCGTCTGCGTCCTGAATTGCTCCTCCCAGTTGAACCCAACCTGTCATAACCAGTGCTTGGTTTTGCCAATGACTGAAAGTAGCGCCCCACTCTGCGAAAGTTGAAGAATTTGAACCTCGAGTTGGGTTCCCTGAACACTCTCTGCCCACGCTTAACTCGCATCCGATGCCAACTCGCGGTCTCTTGATATCTCAGCAGTTTTACAGCACATCGTCTACAGTTCTAACCGTATTCGACAGCGCTGGTCGGCGAAAGCAGCAAAACACAGACTTGGGCACCATATCGTCGGTAATCCTCAGTCATCTCAATATCACGGTCCCATCTTTTCACGTGCTGATCTTGCGCAGTAGTAGCTGCCCCTATTTCGACATATAACATATCGAATCAAGGAAATCGATATTCAGTCGAAATGCCAGGCCAACTGGCTGATCTGAGCAGCCTGGATGCTCGCTCCGCTGCGCTGAGAGAGAAACTCAGTCGAAGTCGCCGGCAGAACAGCACGACCATTTCTAAAGAGTCGAGCAAGGTGTCGTTAGGTGCGACTGATGACGATATTCAGGACTTGATCACCTCGATACGGGTTACATCTGGAGCCAACGATGATAACCCACAGCCCTCATCGTCGTCGTCCGATGCCTTGTCAAGAAACCATCAGGCCCATGCTGCTAACTCAACCAAATACACCTCACAAGATGAGGTCTATACGAACACTTCACAGCCCCTTTCATTCATGAATGCCATGACGAGCAACCATCATGGGTTACCAAACTGTCAAGAGACACTGGCCACACGGACAACGTCTTCCACCGGCTCACAGCCACCATACACAGGCAATGTAGAAGTCTCATCGTCAGCTTCCCACGCGATACAAGAGCTACTCGAGCTTGCTCCCGACATCAAAGACTGGCTTGAAATGACCGAGTACCACAACACAGAGGTTCGCACAGTAAAGTTGGACCGTTTTCGGCGCTTAAGAGACCTCGCGGCCAAGAAAAAGAGACTCGAGGAGGAGGAACGAAAGCTTTTGGAAGAAGCTGAGAATGATTCCTGGCCACGGCAACCTCAGAACAAGGCCACACCCGCGCCTTTGGTTACTCGCGTACAGAGTGTCTCAGAGACGAGACAAAGCTTACCTACTCCCATCACCCCCAACAAACCCGAGCCTGAGGGCAAAGAAACCACTAGCGCAATGTTTCTGACTTCAGGCACCATGCACACGGCGACAAAGAGAGCGCGCCCTGAGGAAGGGGCTGACACGCAAGGAAGAGATAAGCTTCCTCGAACTAACCACCAAGATGTCCAGAGAGAAGACAACAACCCAGTGGATGAGAGCAGACGCCTAGAGTTTGCGGACAGTCGTCCTAGCCACCCTCGGCATGATTTTGAGCGCCCCCCCCCCCGCTGGCATAACTACAAGGAGCCGTCTAACTTCCAGCGTTCTCGGAGCCCGCCGAGAGGTCCTTCATTCCGTCGGGAATACGGTGATGACCGGCCTCAGTCGAGGTACGATAGCTACAAAGGACGTCGGGATTCGGCTCATCATGACAGAGAGAACGGAAGATCACGACGTCTGGACTTTGGACGTCGAGGTGGTTAGTAGAAGATGTCTCATCCATTCCCTGGTCCCCATCGTAGCAAGGTCTTTGTCTGGCGGTCATTGATCCATGGGACTGATTAACCTGGTGTTGTGTTGTACAGATACTCGATTCTTCATCGTCAAGTCTTTTAATGAGCAGAATGTCGAACAGTGTATGGAAGATGTAGGTCCCCATCCCAATCCAATGGCTTCAGAAGGCCATGCTGACCATACAAAATGCAGAATATTTGGACCACGCAGGCCAAAAACAGCTCGACATTTACCGAAGCCTTCAACCAGTGTAGGAACGTTATCCTGTTCTTTTCGATCAACCAGTCTGGCCACTTTCAAGGCTACGCCCGGATGACAACCGCACCGTCGTCGAAGATCCCACGCCCCTGCTGGATGAAGAGCCTGCCCTGGGGCACCAGCGAGCCGTTCAGACTGGAATGGTTGAGCACCACACCCCTCGAGTTTCGAAGAGTCCGTCGAGTTACAAATCCGCTCAATGAGGGCTTGCCGGTTTTTGTGGGCAAAGACGGACAGGAAATCGAGACCAGCGTTGGACACGAGCTGTTGAATGAGATGGATTTGGAGCGGGAGCGGAGGTGGGACGAAGATCACCGCGGTGGGTTGGTATCGGACTACCAGAGGGATGAGGATTATCACCATGGGACTATGGTGAAGCGCGAGTCGTCCACTTAGAGAAAGAGGGGCAAATCCGGATGCGGTAGAGGTGTGGAAAAGCTTGTACACATAGTGTGGGGGAAACAACAGCGCTGATTTATACAAGGTGTTGGTTTATGTGAGGCAGAACATTGTGTTTATCGGGATATCAAAAAACCCTTCCAAAGTGCCACAACTGCCCTCCCTGTAAAATGATCAAGTTGGAGACTTTTGTTTCTCTGACGTGTTCCATCATCTCCTGTTCCATTAAGTGTAGTTCATCAGCAAGCTAATGAGAGGAAATGGTGTGATTACAGTGGCCAAGGAAAAAGCGAGGCCCGAAGTCTGCCTCAAGGATTGTGACATCTTGAGAGTGTATCAATCGTACGATTCCAAGAAGATCATCAGGCGTACGGGAAAACTAGATATACTTTGATTACTGCAGCGGTGACCTGGTCACGGTAAGACTGTCAGGTTAAAACTGACCAAGAATAATCTTCAGCTTTTCTCTCGTCCTTCTTTTTTGACGTCTGAGCCCTAAGGTACGTGACTGCATATCCTTTAATGGTCTTTCAACTTGTAGAATGATATGTCATGAAAAATGATGGAACGATGCCAGAAATCTATTAGGTACCAAGCATGAAAAGCTCCATCATTGACCCGACCCACGCGTACAGGACCTACGACCAAAAGACTTTAATAACCAAGAGTATGTCGCGACAAGTCTAAAATGTGAGTTTCTAAATGCCACAAAACTGAAAGAGGGGGCGAGTTTATCAACACCGAGTACGGTTGCATGGTGACATGGTACCGCTCGAGTCGGGAACACACCGGGTTGGCCTGCAAAGCTGTTTGATGGTTAATGTATTAGGTCAACCATGATAGATTTCAATCAGCCCCAGCACCTTCATCACAAGATCCTTGTGGTTAAATGGTACGGGTATTAGGGCTGACCGTTCGATTCCTCGCAAAACCCTATACGACTGGGTTTTCGGCACCTGCCCTCGAGGGGCAGGTGAGCTTTTGCCTTTTTTCCTTAGTTTATATTTTCTAATTTTTGTTCTCTTGTCTCTCACTATACACTCCTTGCTGTCTTTGAAGTCGATGTAGAAAAGGTTGGGTTTGAAAGCTATATTTTCAGGGGCTGTTTTGAATGATTACAGGAAAAAAGAAGAACAACAACACACCACACTGCGACTCAAGTGCGAGAAATATTTTGATGCGAGAGATCATGCAGCCTATACTCTTTTGATTGATTCAGTCTTGTATGTCTAAAAGCAATCAATGACTAAGGCAAGTGAGTTTCGCCCTTCACCAGAAGGCGTCTGGTATATACTTGCAGCAGACTTTAGAAAGGATCGTCCTGATAGTAGCTTTGCTCCGGATATTACTTCTTTTACCCACTTATCATATGAAATAACTTGAACCCTGCAAAGTCGAGTTGTCGATGAGCTTCATGTATTGACTCCTGTCTTTGGTTTAGCACTTCCAACGAGCTTGATTTTGATTTTGACTTGTATCTGGCTCAAGCAGAATGGAAAGTCGGGTGTGTCTGGCCATAGGAACCCTAGATATAATAGGGACGATTGTTGTCTTTACACCATGAGTGGTAAAGCTCCCAAGTCGTCGATATTTTGGACTTGAAATGCCGTAAAGAGATAGTCTTGAACAGACACTTTCATTTGATGAAGGAAGTATAGTTTATGTTTCAGTGTCTTAATTCCGGCTATAGCTAACTTAGATACTTCATCGCGGTCATTGCCATGGACGACCAGGTTTGAATGAACTAAGTCGACCATTTGGCTTAGAGATCTGGACTAGCAGACATGTATATTTCTCGACCCGTATTCAGAACCCATCAAAGAACTCTCAACTTACTTTGGAGATAGGAAGCCATGAGATGAGTAGCCCACATGTCAGATTGCTTTCCTACATCTACCCTCTCTCTTTTCATCGACATGGCATCCAGATAGAATGCGTCGACCATGTGATGGTGGTCCCCTAGGTACACAGCCATGATCCTGATGCTTCGATCATGATATCCTCTTTGAGATTTCATCCACATATGACATGTCGCACTCCGCAGTACAACGCTCGCTCTTGGCCCCCAAAGCTGCTCGCACTCGCTTGTGGTCTTTTTGAAGCTTGATTTCCGATGCTACCCGGTTCATGCTCCCGTCATCCACTCTCTATGTGGATCAGAAGTCACCACGTCACGGTTGCAAATGTTGACCATCGCGAACTGGTGGTCAGTGTTGCAAACGGCTCTTGAAAGCTCCCTAGTGGCGGGCAAATTCCTTGAAACAAATTTCCGAGACGATATCGATCGATTCTTGTTGCCAATCACCAGTTCTCACTGCCCATCAAGACGGCACTTTCTTGAAACTGGCGCAACATAGGGCAGGGTTCAGGGCTGAAAGCGCGCGGGTTGTGTCCTTGAGGGGACGTGGAAGCAACCCAAGACAGGGTGTGAAATGAGGGCCAATGAACACCCGGTCTGTGCGAGATGACACTGGCCAGCAGGTGTCAAGAGACAAGCTCCCACTGCGACGCTTGGCAACGACTCTTCAGAGTCTCGTCACCGACCAAAGGAGTTGCACGGTGAACAAAGCTGTCTGGAAAGGGAAGACACCACCCGAATCCGATCTGCGGGGCAGGGCCCTGGCCGATTTGTTGTTTCTTGACACCTCAACTGTTTCCGTGCCACCCTTTCACACCCTCCCCTCGTCCGGTTATACACTACTACAGTACTACGACACTGCCAGTTACCACATCAGAGACCATGTCAATAGCTCCTAGTCTGTCTCTGCAAGGCCCTCGGGAGAAGGGAACCAGAGCCCTCACCCAACCTACCTACACTCGGGCTCCAAACATAGCGATTGCTTGCGAGCCCTGTCTTGGCTGCCACTGACCTAACGACCCTTGTCTTCCCTCGACTCCCTCGACTCTGACAGTCTGACAGATGCAAACAATACTGGCCCGTCACAAAGGAACCACAAATGAAGACATTTGGTTACTGACTGCAAAAGACTGAACGGGTTTGGCCTGCAGCTTGTTCAAGTGCCTGCATACGCGAGCGTAGCCAACTTGGACTCTCGGCATCGTTCAGGACCTCGAAGCAGTCCTAATTCGGACTTATGCTGGCGAGGGCTGCGTGCCAAAGCCAGATCGGGACACCAGGCCTGCGAGCTCGGCCCATCTCACGCCAAATCATAGTTGAGGTGGCAAGACGATAGTCCTTCGCCGTAACGCTCGCCTTCGCCATCGCCCACGATGTCACTGCGGCACGCAACAGCTTAGACTACCCAAGGCAGGGAACGGGGAAGACACGCATACGGCCCTCCGTTTCACACGGCTACCACATCCTCGTGTCTATGCGACCTTGAATGCGACTCCATCGAGGGGGAAAAGACCAGAGACGACAGATGTCAACCATCGAGTACACGGCCCTTTGAAGAATGTTCACATTCGGTTCCTCAGTCAGGGCCAATGTCGGATGCCAGTTCGGTTCCGACACCCAGGCTTGTTATCTCTCTAGGACCTTTATTGAACGAGTTTCGCTACTTGAACTCAGCTGGTGAAAGATGACCAGGGTTTTTTATATTGAGGTCCGATGCTGGTGGGTTCGATACGGGATGATACGCGCAAACCCGGATCCTTTCGCTGACATACGGCTGCCGACCGGCACTCATCCGCACACCTACTACACCCACTTCCAGTTATCAAGTCAGTGAGTGCTTGCTGACATCGGCCACTAGAGGAAGGACCCATCACGAGAGGGTGTGAAGAAGACGGTCGGTGATGGGCCATCGAGGAGCCTCACAGCGTCCTCGCCATGTTCCTGCTCACCCACGCCGCTGCGTAAAGCCGCCCGACAGGTCCGGTCAACTTTCTCCGCACGACGACATCAGTATTTCCCCTCATTCATCATCCAACAAGCCCTCTTGTCTTCTCCTTACCCACCGCTCACCCTCCACCGTTGAAGATGTGCAGGAACGTTATCTATGGACATCCCATTTCGGGTAGCCACATGACTCAATGTCCTCCAATCCCTTCATATACAGCTCCAAGCACTCATCTCGAATGTTTACAATCGGACACGGTGATGCTAAATTTACCTGATTCAACATGCGGTCCCTGCACAGCCGATAGTGAAGAGTGGAGAGACGATGTTCACCACCTGGCAGATTGGCAAGGAGTGTGTGGTGTGCCGTTAACATCGGGTCCAACCTCCTCTCCCGCCAAAGCGGCCAGGGGTCGAGCTCTCCACCTTCAACGAGCTCCGTGTGCCGCTGTTACATCGCGTCATGACCGCAGAAAAAGCCCAATCACGGTTGCCGAACTAGGCCCCCCTCAACCCCTCGCCTTCCACCGTGCCAGAGGAACCAGTAAGGCAGAGCCGGCAGGCTTGTCTCTTGTTCATCTGACCTATTTCACTGCGACCGAGAGGGTGAGGACAAGGGAAGTTCCGTGTTTGCACTTGATGACGAGTGGGTGATGAGGTCACGGGCAAGCAATGATGTGGGGGGTTAGCTGTTTCTTTCTTGGTGTCTTCTTCTTCTTGTTGTTGTTGTTGTTGTTGTTGTTTCTATTTTTCACAGTCTACGAGTTCATTCGTTGGTCCGGTCTGGTCCGGTGAAAACCAACAGGTTTATTGACAGCTAGGCAGCCCGATCCGTCATCCAAGTACCGGCCCCTGTCCAGAACTGGTCCGGTCGGGTAAGATGCTAGTTTTTCTAGCCCCTTGTCTTGACCGTTGCGTTGCAACGGCTTTTTTGATTCGTCTATCTACTAAGCCTTTTCCAGGTTGGTGTCGATACTAGTCAGCAAGCCAGCCATCAACCATCAACTGCCCCATGTTCGGTACCAGAAGTGATCACTCCCCACACTTCACCCGTCATCAGGTGTGATATGGTCCGAGACACATCAACAACAATTGGGCTTGGAACGAAACCTCTCGCCCAAGATTCAACATATTTAGGGTCCGATTTTGCATGCCTAGACGGCTTTATCGATTGACGTTTACTTGGCACCAAGGT